ACAATTATACATGGAGAAATCCAAAAAAGGCATTAACAAAAATGTTGTCACATGTTATACTCTAAGTTTGTGAAGTGCTAAAATTCGTGGAGTTTATTTTTTTTTTACAAGCTCTAAGGTGGGTGTTTTATGTACAATCACCTTATAATATACGCATAGCAGTATATACAGTGATTCGTATACGTAAATTAATAAATACCAGCTACTCGAACATCGAGTTCTTTCGTACCTACAAAATCGACTCTGACGCGATTACTAACAGTTTTGTACGCATTTTTTACAATTATATCACGAAACATACATATGCTGGAAAAAGCATACATAAACATAATTGGAACCTTTTAGAGAAGTGTTAAATTTTTGTGCTGGTGGTTTTGAAATTTTTTTTTTTTTTCATTATTTCAGTTATGCAAAAGAGACTTTTTGTGAGTTCGTTAACCAATACCTGTTGACTGCTTTTACATGCTTAACTAATTTCGTTGAATTAAACTTCTTATTAAACCATTTGAAAAAATTTTACCAAATTATTTCATATAAAGCCTCAGAAATAATATGAGATAAAGCAAAACGTAAAAATTTATATATCATTTAAAATTGCGTGTGGGCTCGATAACAATGAGCGATCATAATACTCGATTGCGCTGTTTTGAGTGGTTCAACGAAAAATTAAATGACTGGAAAAAAAGCATTCCTCGGACAATTTGGACGCTTAAAAAATTAATTCCAAAAGTGTGATATTATACTTATTATAAAAATTAAAAGTAAAGTCGAAATGATTTTACACATACATATTATTCATCTATACTGAATTTATTCAGTGTAACGTTTTATAAGATAAACAAATGTTAATGTGATGTAAAGTTAAACGTAATCTATGTTGGCTCAATGTATAACCGCAGTATTCATTTATTTCAAAAAGTTGTATGGACACGTAATGGTTTATTCGCATACGATTATTTCTATTTAATAAATGCTTCACTCATGTTCTACAACGTAACTGAAACATAAAATAATGGTCCAGAAGGTCTGTGTTCACAACCAAAAATTTTTTTTTAGTACACCACCGATCAGATTATGGAAAAGTTAATTTGTCGATTTTGAAATATTCTACAATTTATGTCCAAAAATTTAATTCCCGACATTTCTGCCAAAAATTTTTTATTCACATTACTTAGAATACAGTACTGAACACCAATATTTCTCGCAAAAAAGTGGATTACAGTGCATTTTTTTTTATAAATAAAATTTATGATTAAGTCAACAACTACTGAAATAATTTTTTTTTATGTTTCTGACACTCTTGTTTCCTAAATTATAAGTTTAATACTTTTAATTCAATCAATGCATTACATTTTTAGAAACAAAATTAGAATTAAAAATATTCCAATGAATATTCATGCCTGAGTCTACCATTGATTATCGAATCATAAAATCCTGTTAAATATTGAAAAATAAGAGTTTTAATGCGAAAAAAAAAAAAACATTGAACTAATGCACATAACCAAACTGAAACGCAGAAACAGACTTATTTCCTGATTGAGCTTTAGCTTCCCGTTTATTGTTGTTTTACTCAGTCTGTAACCAAAATCTGATAACTTACACAAGATTGCATAACAAGTATTTTTATTTAGAATTTCAAAGTGTTGTAAAGACAAAGATTCAAGTTTATTGTTAAAGTAAGTAGGTACTCACACACAACTTTTTTGAAAAAAATTATATTTACCAGAGAACATAGACCATAAAAAGAGATATATTCTATTTTCTCGGTATTTACTATAAATGTACATGTATGCATGGTTGAAAATTTATGGATGTAATGAACTGTATGTATTAATACACGGCAGTACGTAAAAAAAACACAGTTTATACTCAATCAAACGAAAACGCGTGGGAGTGATTGATTGCAAAATCCAAATGTTTCTCTAAAATAGCCTTGGAATTAAAAATTACAAATATGCTTCACTCGTCGAGCGATCGCATGTATGGGGTTACACATGATTGGAGGAGAGTCGAGAGGCTCCGTCGGAGGAGAGAAACCACGATGTAAATAACACCTTGAGCTCAATGTCGCGTAATTTGCCGCTGAATCAAATGTCGCGCAGAAAATTATTCGTGGACAACTTTTCGATTATCATGACTTTTTTTTATCTCACAACATACCGTCCTTTTATATTCTACGTACAAATCTTCTGCGTAATTGGGTTTGACCGCTTTATGTACAATATCTAAAATATAACCGTGTCACGCATTTTTTTTACGTATCGACAGATAGATAAGAAACAAATTTTCTCAAGTACAGAGTTGAAGATTTTACTACTCGTATCAATAATTCGTGCTTGAAAATACATGTATGAAACGATTGACGAAAAGAATTCTTGAAATTCTTAAAAGCTTTTATGATTAAACATTCAGGTTGAAGTCTACATTTTTATGTATTTATTTTACGTGACAACATTGCGAAATGCCGTGATATCTGTAGAAAACAAAATTATAGTCATAAGTTTTGTGCTATAATTGAACACTAGTTATTGAGTTTTGAGTAACGTTATTTATTTTTTGTGTTTGATTAAAAAAAAAAAAAAAAAAAAAAAAAAAAATACTAATAACAGTTATAACAGAACAAAAAATTACAAATCAACACAGAAAAAACCCAATGACCCAAAAATAATTCTCATAAACTATTACAAGAGCTTCTTTGTCGCAATTACGTAACGCCGCAGCGCACGATGAATGTGTATAAGGAGCTTGCGAAGTATAAAATTGTATCTCACTTATAATGATCGGAGCCGACGCAACTTTATAATTACATGGCATATGAATATGTTCAAATAACTGTGAACTTGGTATTGAAACGTGCTTTTTTGGGTTTCTTTACCGTGAGAAAATACAACTAATATTTTTGCATACTTTGCTGTAAGTGCGTACAAAAATGTTTTATCTTGAAAGATTTGATTATTCAGCATTAATTAAAATATATTTATCCACTCCATGATTGACAAAAAAATTCGTTTATTAAAAGTATTAAAATTACTGTGTGAAACATATAACTTAAATATTATTTCATTTGAATTTGCACGCCTTATTATTAAAACGAAAAATCTCATTAAAGTGGTTGCTCAATGACTCACGGTCTGGCTGAGACGAGTAATCTACAAAATGTAAACAAGTCAATTTTTTGCATGCAGTTTTTATTCACTTTTCTTAAAAAACTCCACTCCAAGCGTTTGACGCACTCAGTACATTATCCAACAAGTTCACAAAGGATTGATTATCGTAGTTGAAAATATAAAAATAATCCTAATCATGTCCAACTCTGGCTTTTTCCATATAATCGTAATCATCTCGAATCGATGACTTGAAAAAATTATTGCTTCACGAATTTTGTTACTGCGTGGCGAATATTTTTCATTCTTACATTTTTTGAATATTCAATTTTCTAATTTGTACATAATAGTAATAAAACATATTTACTGTTCATCAAAATCCTACAGTACAGTATATCATAAACAGCATTTATTTAAATGCTGTTTATTAGACACTCAATTATAGTAATAACAATAATAATAATAATAATAATTATTATTATTATTATTGTTATAACAATAATAGTTTTTAAGCTCCTAATTACCTAATTTTAGATAAAGCGCTAGTAGAAAAAAAAGGTTCAACGTAGAAATTCATGAATGATTCTTGTCATTAAATTTTTAAGAGCTGAAGAGGTTCTTGAGAATCTGCAATGTATTCGTTCAAGTATCCAATTTTAGTTCTTTCAAAAAAGTAAAAACTGTTAGTTTGTCACTCGAATCTATGAACTCTCAGAAGTTTCAATGTACTATCTATATAATTTTCAAGCAGCTTATAGCTCAACCGAGACATAAAATGACAGAGTAACCAATTATGAAGAATATATTTTCTATTTCCCAAAAAAATTACAATCTTATTGAGTATTTCTCAAACAGTTGACACGCCAACAATGATTATTCATCAAGTTATTGTAACTATGGTATATTTAGGTTGATACACAAGTGAAAATAGGAAATTACTAAATTAAAAAAAAAACTAAGACTCTAAATATCGGGGGATAATGGTCTATTTTTAAAATACTATTTATTTTTACTAATAGTTTAAAATCTTTCGCTAAGTTGGGTGAAAAAACTATTCGCGAATCATCAAGTACTATGAGCTACAACTACATCCTTGTACATTTTATGAGTAACGAAATAAAAAAAAAAAAAAACAATACATGTCAACGATGGCTCTAATAAATCGAAAAAATTTCCAAGAAATGCTTTTCTTCTCAATTAATGATCTTTTAATTTACACCACCAAAAATTGTTTTTTTAGATACTCTTTGCAATTTCGTGTTGAAAGGAGACAGGGCGTTAAGGTAAGCCTTATTCAGCGATACTTGACAATTTATTCGCAAACACCATAAAAATTTATTGGCAAAAAAGTTTTAACTATACTATTTACTACAGACAAATGATGTTAAAAAAAAAAAAAAAAAAAAAACTGGAAATATTAATTGGCCAACGTGGGTTTATATACGTTTTAAACCTGATATTTTGGAGCGTAAAATGTATAAATGAATTTTCAAGCAGCTCTTACGATGAACCATAAGTTTCCTTGCTGTAAACACTTCCGATATTCGTTTTTGTTTTGCGACTGCTCGTGCATGTAATTGTTTCATCATTGAAACCGCAAACAAAAAAAGTTGTGAACTTTATTTCCTCTGAAGCACGTTTCTGCCGTTATATCGGAGTTCAATAATTATTGCGTGCATCTGTTTCTACGGATTTGCGACAGACTTTTACGAAAGCCTAAACGCAAAAGTCTTGCGCAAAGCCGCTCGCAAAAGTTGAGGCAAAATTTTTTGTGTCTGTTAGACTATACACGAGGTATTGTTCTTAAAAGGTTCTCTAATAGGATACTGTAGGAGTCGTACACAAGGAAAGTGATCTCAGTCTCTTTGTATAATGGTATGGACAAAAAAAAACATTACTTTGAAAATGCACTAGAAAAAATTATAGGAACAAAAATGTGCACAATGACCTTGTGGCTTAGAAGCATCAATACAAGAAGTAATTAGAACTGTCCAATATATTCTATTATTCCTTAATAAGATACGAATATTATCCATAACATTCTTACTTTGAATTTTTCTCCAAATTTGCGTTTATAGGCTCGAAAAAACCCATTCCACCTGTTGAAAACGTGTTGTTTCGCAAGTAGTCATATACACAGGTGTGGCAGGAGTCGATGCTTTTGAATCGCAATTGATAGTTTGAATCTGGTCCACAAATCCCGTGAGGAAGAGAGAGAGAGAGTAAGGATTGATCACGTAACTACGAACTTTCTACTACACCCTAATACACTTTACCTGCCGTGAATCTGTAGAAGCGGAAACACGTAAAGCTTGCGTGTTATAATTACAAGAAAAAAAACTGTGACATAAGTAGTATACCAATGTGAATGAAAATGTGACACTTTATTGAACTTTTTTGCTGATGAAAAATTGTATACTCAACACGGAAGAATATGAATAGCTATACGATTAGATACATTCTTCGTTTAATTCTATTTGTAAGTGTATACAAATCGTCGTGTTCATCATCCCCACTATATATTATATCCGTCTATACCTGGAAAATCACTTATCTTAGCCCGTCTGTTTTGGAGGTATTTTTCTAACTCTATCGATATCAAATGTACAAGAGTTTATCTTTATAATTTGTTAACGACATTAGCTAATATTTCAAATATGAATGTGCCATCATCGTTATTCTTCAAAAAGTATCAGCTTTTCTCTCACCATACACCAAAACATCAGAGTATACGATCCTAATCCTATATGACCCTATTATTTATGGTGTCTGAGTTGTAATTATATAAATATAAAGTTAACGTAATTATTTAAGATTTCTTTGAAAGTGAATCGATTAATCGGGCACTTTGACCTGTGAAAAACCAAAATTTGTTTTCAAAGTTAAATAGTTATATGATGATAACTGAAACCCTCGGTAAAATTGGGTCATCTACCCTATTATGGAGGTCAAGTGTAAAAAAAAGAGCTCTTAGAGTCCGTACAAATATAATATCTATAATCTACTCGAAAGCACACGAAGAAGAATATCTTTCTGTATATATATCAAAGAGACCATCAGCAACATATTATATACACCATTACACTACGTAGTTGTACGTGTACTGTGGGCTGTATTACAACAGTAGTAGCAAAAACAACAACAACAACCACTACCGCTGCCACTTTATCGAGGACGTCAGTCTTCTTTTGGGATTAACCGCGGCGCGAGAGTGAGTCGGTCAGTCGAGCGCGCACCCGCGCGTCTTGCACTTCTATATGCCGCGCCGTGCTGAGCTTCGTGGCTTGATTGTTCATTACGCGTCGAGTGATTTTTTTCTTTATTAGTGCCCAGAGAAAAACTGCAGGAAAACATGAGCAAGGAGCAGGATAGGAGCGCCGATGGTTCGGGCACCGGTGGCACGACCGGCCAAGGAAAACAGCTGTAAGCGCGAGTCTTGTATAGCATAACACACGCGTTGAGGGCGATGAGTATTTTGTTTATTTATTTTTCACGACGATTCTTCTGTGGATCTTTCAACCGATCTTTCGCGGTGCGCGTTACGTAAAAGCGAGGCTCTTTCTTTTTCGGGCGCGTCGAGTGCGATCGGTTGGCCCGATGTCGTCGAGCTACAAGCGATTTATTACGTTATTGGTAATCGCTGTTTTTTTTTTTCTTGCGTATCCTTTGGTGTGTGCAAATGCGTGTTTTATTTATTTGTTTAATGTTGCTCAGTGACGCATGATATAGTGTCGGATTTTTTTTGTTTTGTGATTCGGTGTATCGGGATATCGGGATCAGCCTCATTGAATTACGTGATCATGTTACTCGTCTTTGATAATTAAATCAGTACAAATGTGTCAGAACTGTGGTAGTTTCGCATTACAGATACTAAAACAATATACGATTTATTAAATTTTAATCTAAAAATGTTTATCAAAATTCGTAACTTTCAAAGAGTGCATTTGAAATCACAAAAAAAAAAACGATTATTATGGCTTTGCGATTTTCGATTGAGGCACTTTTTGGAACGTCAATTAGATATTGTTAAAAATGTACAAGCAGTTTGATTCTGGAACTACGTGTTGTAATTTTGGAGTTTCCGAAACAATTTTACTAACCAAATAAGCTCTGGATTCTTCAATTTTGTTGTTAATATTGACTCATTCCACGAGCGATACGTTACTTTTTGAAACAAAAAAACAAAAAAATGGAGTAATTTAAAAAAAAAAAAAAAAAAAAAAACGTATTTTTTATAGTATGGTTTACTACGAAAATTAATCAATTAAGTAAAAATAATTTTATTTTGAGATTAAACGTTTGTCGAAAGCATTTTTGAAATAAGAGGTTCTTTTACCTAACTGCCGTCCAACGGAAAAAAAGGTATAAGTGACATGAGAGACAAACTGAGAAAATCAAGGAAAACTAAGTGTCTTCAAAAATCAATGGTAATTTGAGTATTGAACCGCGGAAAAACTGTTTTGTATATAAATATGATATAATTTTCTATTTTCCGCAAAAGAAAAACGATTTTTCGATGGGAACTATGAAAATCTGCACTTCCCCTTCTAACTCGGCAAAATTTCCTCGTAAAAAAGGGTAAGAGCAAAAATACAGATTATTCCATGGGGTTTACCTTTTTTCTACTTTGGAATTCAAGGCGGTGCTCATCGACTTTACAACGTAAAAAAAGGGTAAGTGCACTTACGATGTCTGCCTGGCGCGATTTCCACGTTTTGTGTCACTTACCCTTTTNGCGATTTCCACGTTTTGTGTCACTTACCCTTTTTTTTGATCGCTGACGAAAATTATTAGCAATTTTTCCAATTTTCGTTAAATTATTACTAAATCACGTTATAAGATATTTAATTTGTAGATATGCTATTAGACGCAGAATTTTCTGACGAATCGATTGGTACAAGTAACTCATTTTCGACAAAAATGTCACTTTTTTTCCGTTGGACGGCAGCTAACTAAGGGTAAGTTGCTAACGATCAAATTAAATAGTTGAAACAAAATTAAAAAATTGACACAAACGATCCTGGAAATGATTACAGCTTCTTACACAAGCGTACTACATATAAATCTAATTCAAATTATTAGGAACAATTGTTTTCGAAACAAAATAAAAACTCTTTCATGTCTGTTCGAACGATTGTACTTTTTTAAAAAACTAAATTACTTCTTGAAAATTTTAACTACTCCAAGCGGATTTCATGAAAAAAAAAAAAAAAAAAAAAAAAAAAAAATTGAATTAATACACCTTACAAGCAAGATTATCAGGGTCAATAAACAGATATTCATCTCAAGCCTATAAGGGATACGATTAGATACATTCTTCGTTTAATTCTATTTGTAAGTGTATACAAATCGTCGTGTTCATCATCCCCACTATATATTATATCCGTCTATACCTGGAAAATCACTTATCTTAGCCCGTCTGTTTTGGAGGTATTTTTCTAACTCTATCGATATCAAATNAATTAATACACCTTACAAGCAAGATTATCAGGGTCAATAAACAGATATTCATCTCAAGCCTATAAGGGGTATTTACACAGGTGGGGCAGTTTTTATAATCACTATTGATAATCAAAGTAGCAGTCGTAACTGTATGATATGAATATATCGAATTGATCTGTTCACTTACTCGTCAGTTTCATGTTGCTCTGACGATTGCTTCCTGCAGTTATCTCTGACGTAGATTTTTTTCATATGTAACTCAAAGTATCATTTTTTTCGCATTTTTATTAGCATCATTGGTTGAACTAATTATCCCATTTAAATAACGTACAAAAAAATTGAAAGGTTATCCTTCAAAGCTGAAGTTAATTAAGCTAATGTGGAATTTGAAAACAATAAGCTAAAAATTGAGACTCAACTTTCAGAAGTGAATTTTATCATATGAATAACACGACCCGCATGCGTGCTACTATATCGTTCGTACAGCTACAAATATTTGAAAAAATGCTGCTGAATGCATTTTGTAAAATAATGTATAATTTTATTTGAGTGTATTTTCATACTTTATTCATATGAATAATATTATTTAAATTCGTAAGTAATTTCCATGAAAAAAGATTTTGTTTCTTCGTAAAAGCTATTTGTTTTTCGGTACTCACATATTTTTCTTATTTAAAATAGAATACAAACTATTAAAAAACTGCAACAAATATGTTTGAAATACTACCAACTTTCTTCAACAATGTCATATCGATTTTAGTTCACATTGATCACAAAAATTTAATTTAATCTTCTTAGAAGTATAAAATCCAAGCGAACCGATCGCTTATTCATTTGATTGATAATTTTATACTAGAAGCCAAACGTCCAATTTATCTTGGTACTTGCACCAGACTAAGTTAAACTTTTTAAGTCCCCAGGAGATATTGTATTATGATAATATGCTGAAAACAATGATTCAACAGTTTTTTGTTTGATCATATATTTTGTACATCCATCATTGGTTTAAGTGATTTTGAAGCTCTTTCTCATTTACATGAAACAATTTTTTTTTCTTCCATTGTAACATGTGTACTATTCTGAGTCATAACATTTCATACGCGTACGCGTTGTCAAAGCAACGTACCAGGTACACTATAATTATCCACTTACTCTGAGAATGTGTGAAAATTTGATTTTTATGCTCAGCTGAAATTGAATCCATGCAAACCCCAATAATCGCATTTATACGTATCCATCAGTTGGTACTACAAGCTAGCATGTGTTTCGAGAATGCAGGGAAAAATTCTCAAACATCAGGGCGTTATTTTATTTCACTTAAAAATGATTTTTACTCTCCATCCACGTTTAAAACACACGTTTACGCTTGAGATGGGTTGGTTAACTCAGTATCATGGCCCGCATCATTGGGGACAGGAAGGCGTAATTGCTTATCAATGCCAACTGTATGTGATGACTACGAAACTGTGCGTGTTATTACCTTATTTTATGAAGGCTATTGCAGAGAAACATAAAATTTCTGGAACAAACGTTTGTACTCAAATTCATTGATAGCTAGTTTCTTGTAAGCGTTTTATATACATATATATATATATTATAGTAACTGAAAACCATCTGTAGAAAAAATGTTTATACCTATATATATATAAACTTTTCTTGATGACTAGTAATTTTTTTAACCAAATAAACATTTTTTCTACAGATGGTTTTCAGTTACTATATTTTCTCATTTTTCATGAAATAGTTTGATAAACGCTTGTACAAAAATATCAGGCGATCCATTTATGTAAGTTTATTTTGGATTTTTGCAACTCCTATACAAATATGATGTGATGAGGGTTTATCACCACGAAAAACATTAGCTATTTGACAATTGTTATTCACTTAAACATTAACAGTTATCTTTATCGTAGATTAAAACAAAACTAATGAGAATTGTTGGTAAAGATTTTGCTTATTGTAATGAAAGCTTTGTATTGGTCAATAAACTAAGTTTTTTTTAAATACGTCAGAAATATATTAATTGCGTAAACAATCAAAATGAGTCCTTTGAAAAAAAAATGACACCTCAGGAAATCTTTAACTAAATTTAATTATCTAGGGCTTAAAATTGATATTTTTTTTCCTTATGGACTTAAAAATAAAATGCACTTTGTTACTTTATTAAGGTTATTGCAAGAAGTTTTGGATTTTCTAAAACCGGTTGTATGTGACATTCGTAGAGAAAAAAATTTTGTTTGATTGACAAAATTATAAGTTGTTTTATCGATGAAAAATCAAGATTTTATTTAAAATCATAACTTGAAAAATTTGCACGATAATTAATGAAAGTTATCTATCGATATTTGCCACGTGGTATAATAATTTCCGTGATAATTTGAAGTCATTTATCCGATTGATATTTTTCAAAATATGTAAAAATTTTTTGTTGTACTTTATACAAACATGGATGTATACCTATAATCAATTAGGGTGAGATTACATGGAGTCTGGCAGTCTGCAGACTGGCAGAATCGCGCTAAGTTTAAAATATGTTTCAATATTTATATTTAAAACCTGTTACGTAAGCAAAGAAATAATTATCGTAATACATTTGCATTCCTGTATTAACTAATATTTATGGAAAAAAAAGGCGACGAAAAACGTTTTGTCACAGTTACATATTGTTGTACACACCAGGTTACATCAGTGACCCTACTGACCGACTGTGCGATGTTAACATAAATCAATAAAAAAAGTTATAAAATAATATTTGACACGTTTTATTGTAAATGAAATTGATTGTATCTAAGCCTTTATTCTGTTATGACAATAATTACAATTTTTTCTTTATTTTACTAAATTATTCTGAGATGTTATAATTTAAACATAACTTAAACTTAGCGCGATTCTGCCAGACTGCAGACTGCCAGACTCCATGTAATCTCACCCTTAAGTTCTGGCACTTAGGCTTCAAAATTTAGTAATCAGAAGTGTGAAAAATTCATCTTTCCTTGCAGAGGTGCAAACCTCAACATTTAATATTGTATCTAATTAAAGTTTATACGTTTATTTCTTAACGTTACACAAACGTTTTTTAAAGTTGTTTTTTTTTTTTTTTTTGACAAAATAGTGTTTTTAAAGAAGTTATTAACTAACAAATTTAGTGTTCATGTCTAGTTATTTAAAAAATTACAAAAAAATTTCATATTCAAATGACGAAATCTTTGCTACAATGAAAAATTGTAGTGAGATCTTTGCAGTAACAGTTTTATTAATTACTCACATAAATATCTTTTAAAAAGTACATGTTTTCCTATTATATTTTCGTAAATATTATGTAAGTAATGCAAGTAGATATTATACTATGTTTATATATTAATGTAATGAAATGATTTTTTAAACTTTTCAATTTTATTAAGCTTTTTTATTGCTAACTACTATATCCTTGTACGGCAAAATAATCATAGATAAAGAGAAATAATATGAACCAAATAAGTTTATCTTATCTTAAATCGTACAAAAAACTTATTTCATTCAAAAATACCGCCATATTGAAACAACTCTTCTGCCCAGGAGATTACAAGTCACCCGCGTAATTCAAAGCCTTTGATTGAGAAAGGTGTTTTGTGAGACCATACTTAACAGAATTACCCTTGAATACCTACATACAAGGTTTGTGAATGTCGTTACTACTTTTTTCAATTCATTATCCATAGAATAAGGTAAAAAATTAGTTTTAAAAAATTAACAACTTTTAAAATAGTACACTTATAGAAGTTATTGTTGAATTTTTATCGTATTTAAATAATAGTGCAATAATAGTTACACAATTCATAATGCTAATATATAAATACTATTATTAAATCTTGCTGTATGAATAGAGTTACGTTTCAATTAAAAAATTTAATACTTTAATTTTGTAATATAGTTGGCAAACCTAAGCTTAACGATTTTTACAACAATTTTGAGGAAGCAAAATATTTTTAAAGCGTTAAATACATTTATGTTATTAGAACTAGTTCATACCCGTGAACGAATGCCGAAATTAAATAGCCGAGCTCTGCTCAAATGGACTCTATGTCTATAATGTGTGTGATCAGCTGACACTGACACTGACGCTAAACATAACGATGATGCTTAAGTAGGTGATACATGCCTGTATACGTGCATACGTGCTTTGGAAATGTTGCAGCACACAGGCACATTTTATTTATTTATTCACAAAAACTAGAGTCTCTCAGTCAATTATTGCGAGTTTTTAATAATAAAATGAAGTTCTGCCCAGATAGTTTTTAGCTTTTTAACACGATATGACGAGAAACGATTGGGTAAACAAGATCCCAACTTTTCTAGCTATTTGAGTAGCTGAATTAAAAAGAAAAAACTAGTGAGTAAAAGAACAATTAATAGACTAAACAAATTTTCAAGAAGATTTTGTCATACATAATGGTATTTGTGTTCATTCATAAACAAATTTGTCCTTTTTTCATATCATGATATTTAATAATTATTAGTGTTTGGTTATCTTTTGCGAATAAGTAAGTAATTTCCGAAATGTCGTCGTTTACTGGCTATCATTAATAATAGTTAAAATAATTAAACTAGCCATAGTTTCCACTCGTATAAAATTTACGAGCAATTGTTTTGGTTATAGAAAAAAATTTTTTAAATGAATGTTCATTTTCAGGTCCAAAAAACAATTAAAAAAGATGAGACGGACAAAGATTAAAATTGGAATTTTCAGTGTTACGGCTTTGGTTTGCTTACTTCTTGGAACTAGTAGCTTGATTTTTTTGGAGTCATTTTTTCAAAATATTATAAAACAGGTAAATATAATGCACCTTATAAAACGTTTTTGATTTTTTTTAATTTTTTCATACATTATAAGTAGTTGCATTGAAAATATTAAAAGATTTTTTTATGTGCCTTGCATGTAGAATGATATTTTAATTTTTTCAATTCAATTTTAATACTTTTATTGATAGGCATTACCCGATGAACTAAATTTAAAGTAGACGATAGACACTAAAAATTTTATTTCTCTTCGTTAAACTAGTTGATATCAAATGTAAATATTTTATGAGGACCTCTAACATTGAGGTTATGTTTTTAATAGTACGTCTTTTTTAAAATACACTATAGTCAATATTTTCTAAATAGAAATTGTAAAACGTTTAAAAATTAGTAATAATGACTGTCCAAAATGACAAAGATTATTTTATTTTTTTCTGATAGTTTGATAAACTTGATTTTAGAATGCCTCATATTAGAGTTTGTAACACCCTTACTTTCAAGTATATTAATTTATATGGAGTCAAGGGAAACTTTGTTCCAATAAAGTATTTTTTCGTGACACTCCTTGAAGCAAATGTTGCATGAATAATTATTGCTTTTAGTTTGATTCGGTTTACATGTATAACATTTGTTGAGAAGCATTATGTTAAAAAATACAAAATAAAGTTGACAGCATACAAAAAAATAAAATAAAATAGTGAAAATGATACTTTTACTAATGTACTCGTAATTTAACTCATAGACCAGTCAAAGGAATCATGGTATGACAGTTTATAATAAGTAGCTCAATTAATGTGAAAAAAGAATAAATTTTTGCATTTTTGGTAAAATTGCTACTTTTTTTTTACTAGAGTGTAAAGTATGGAATGTATCTTACTCGAGATAAAAATGAGTAATAAGCAAACAGTTATTTTTTTACGTTATCGTATTGGTACTACTTTTACTTTAAGTTTTTTTTTTTTCTTTTATGGATGTCACGTACGTATACTTACAACATATGGGGGGTTAACAACGTAAATTTTTTTACAATCTACAACTTCTTTACGATTGTAATGAACTAAAAAGTGTTATTTTAAGAAGATACATATCAAAAACTGATAAGTTTTATTTATTTTTAGATTGCTACAATCTTAGAGTTACTAAAATTTATTTAATGAAATTTGCTGAATTTAAAATTTTTTTGAATTTATTTGCGATTAAAGAACACCACTCCTGACACCTATTTTGTAGGTTCAAAATTTTTTTTACAAATGGGCATTTTTTTATATTTAGACATTTTTACCTTATTTTTCTTTGGGGAAAATGTAGGACACTCCAGAGAACCAGTCATACCTAAAAAAGAATTGGTTACCTCCTAGATACCAATTGTCTGGAACTATAATAAATATTTTTAAGTTTTTCAATTGTACAGCGTAATTTTGAAATTAACTGTCAAAAAGTTATGAAAATCACTTTTGCCGATTAAAAAAATTTTTCTAAAAAAATTTACAGAGGTATTTACGCGATGTAAATTGCAGACATTGTAGAAAACGTCTATCGAATAACCACTATATTTAAAATAATCAGACATTTGGTTTATTTTTCATTACCAAAATTTCAACAAAATTTATATTTTTTTAAATATAATACAAAAGCTTTTATTTTATTATAATAAAATTGTTACTTTATATACATAATTGATGTATTAGTATAGTTTTAAACTTAGACGTTTAGAGAACTGAGAAATCAAACTTATTTAGTACAATTGGATCGAAACCATGAATCGTGATTTATTAACAATAAGAAAGGAAATTTAAAACTTTTTATTGTAAGTTTAGTTTGAATACACTTAAAAAAATCTTCGACATCTTCACTTGTTAAGGTTATAGAGCAAACTTTTTTTTTAAATTTGAATAACTCCTAAAATAGAACACTTATTGAAGTATTTTTTTTTTGTAAAGTATGTATTTACAGCCATAAACTTGTAGAATTCGAGTTTTTAATGTGCAAAAAAACTTTTTTCAAATATAATTAATAAGATAAAAATCAATGTGATAAAACTTAGAAGGTTAACTAATAAATCATCCTTCGAACAAACAGTAGCTCACAATATCATCAAACTGGTCCTTGTATTTTTCGTGGTAACGGTCTCTTTCGACAAGTTAAAAGTATGCCGTACGAAGATTTTTGTAGAAAATTTTGAATTGGTTGAGCTCACTTTTTCGGAAAACTCCATGCGTAGAAATGAAAAATTCTCAAACGGATGTAATTGATTAGAAATTTTTGTACAGGAATTAACATTGTCGCCAAGCTCAAGAAGTTATAAAATGTGGATGAAAACACCTATACCCATGTATTTAAAGATACGTTTATTTAATTGGACGAATCCAGCTGAAGTGCAAAAAAATCCTACTGTAAAGCCGCACTTTAATCAAATGGGCCCGTATGTTTTCAGGTACAGTTGGACTTGTTTATAATATTGTGCAACAAATTTGTCTTCTAATTTCGTATGACTTGGTTATTAATAGGGAAGTCAATTATAAAGTTCATCAAGTCTGGAATAACGGAAATTCAACAATAACGTTTCAACAGCAGAGAATTTGGCATTTTGAACCAGATTTGTCTAATGGCAAATTAACAGACTATGTCACGACAATAAATCCTATTGCTTCAGTAATGATTTTTTTTTTCTACACTTAAAATTTTTCTTTGCGATAACAGATTCGAGCATTTTCTAGTGTTAATATTACGTATTATTTTAGACTATAGTATACATGGTGAGAAATAAAAATGCATTGTTCAAGACATTAGCCATTAAAATTTTGGAAAGACTCGAAAAATTAACAGTGACAAAAACAGTTGGTCAATTTCTATTTGATGGTTACGAAGATCCATTATTGGACGCAGCTACTCAAGCTAAACTGAAACTTATTCCCTTTGACAAGTTTGGTTGGTTCTACAGTGTACGTATATTATTTGGGATTTTGTCGCGTTTCAACATATCCCTTCCAAAAAAATTATAGCAATAAATATATATGCATGCATATATGAAGTTATTGTAAAATCAGATACACTTTCCTACCTAACTTTCATTTTTTTCGTTACTAATTTTACAAATGTCTACTCAATTGCTTGTTATGAATTTATTTGTTAATTACGAATTATTAAAAGAATCCTTGGAGAATCCAATTTAAACTGACGAGTAGTTCAGCTCAATGTGTACAATATTTCACATACTTTAACTAGTTTAACAAACATCTGAAAACATCTTTCGATCGAAACTTTACTAGTGACCCGCGTAAAAACTTTAACGTTCGGCTTAACTTTCGCTAAAGTGCATGTGGCTAACCTTTGGCCAAACTTTGGCCAAGCTTGGGCAATGAGAAAATCCCAAACGTGGACTCAATATTTTTCGTAAGTCATATATGCAGACTAACTAATATACTGACACAACAAATTATTTTTTTAGACCTTTGGATGGACATTTGCTAAGCTTGAGTCAAATATTGCAACAAAAATCCAAGTTTGGGATTTTCTCATTGCCCAAGCTTGGCCAAAGTTTGGCTAAACGTTGACCACATGAACTTTTGCGCAAGTTTGGCAAAACTTAAAAATTTTTACGCGGGGAGATACTTATTGTTCTTAGCACCATTTAACAATGTTGGGAATCGTAAGTCGGTTGGGAATTGTCTGATTCATGTAAAATATGAAAAATGGTCTGACAGTTATCTAATAACGTAATAATCTATGTATTAGGAGATGTACGTTCAGAAATAGCTGGAATGTTTTTTAAAAAAGCATACTTTAAAAGACTGTGCTAATTCTAACAATTAGGTTTTTGGAATGCAACTTTTTTTAAAACACACGTAAGGGTATATCACTAATATTAAGTACTAATATTAAGCTTTTATAGTTCAAGAAAATTAAAATTGAACTTGAAAAATAACATAGTTCTTGTAATCATGGATGACTTATATGTCGATGTATTTCAACAGAGAAACGGCTCTGAAAACTATGATGGTATTTTTAATATATTGACTGGAGCAAGCAATATGAATGAATTGGGAATGCTCCAAGAATGGAAGTACAAGCAAGTTTCTCCGTATTTCCCAAATACGTGTGGTCCAATAAAAGGTACCAATGGAGACCTGTGGCCACCTCTTCCTAATAATAACACTGTCTCGGTATTTTCTCCTGATGTATGCACGTAAGTTACTAATAAATATAAATCCTGAAATAAATTTTTTTATTCCAATTATTGTTTAAGTTTCAAATTTACAGTTCTCTTACATTGAAGTCCAATGGTAAAAGTGAATGGCTTGGTGTAACAGGAAACATGTATGTATCTGATGAAGATATGCTAGACAACGGAACCAGAGTGGATTCACGGCAATGCTACTGTAAAGATGTAAAATGTCAACCGAGTGGAGTATTGAATGTTTCCTCATGTAAATTTGGCGCACCAGCTTTCGTTAGTTTGCCTCATTTCTATTTGGCTGACGAAAGTTACAGAGAAAACATCACTGGGATGGAGCCAAACAAGGAGGATCACGAGTTCCAATTGGTTATTGAACCAGTAAGTAATAACTGTGCCGTGTTAACAAAACTGATTAATTTTAGGATTAACATTAGCATCCTGATCTTCCTATGCATATGCTACTTTTTGACATATAAATTTCCAATTTGACCGGGCTATAATTCATATAACTACATTTAATTCCATTATTAAATTCTTGGTCCTTACTTTATGTATATATTTTCTTTTATGGTTTTAATCTTCTTTTATTTGTAATACTAATAACAATTACTGACATTAGCTAAGCATTTATTTAATATTATTTTACAGACTACAGGTATTCCAGTTAAAGTCAGAGCTGCTCTGCAAATCAATTTCTTAATAGAACCAGATGAGAGTTCAAGGTAAAGTTCAATAAAATTACTTTTTTTGAAATCTGTATGAATCATTCTGAATTTATACATTTATTTTTTTTATTTTTTATTACAGCTTCTTCAAAAATATTCCCAGAATGTATGCACCTATGCTATGGTTCACGCAAGAAACTAACTTAACTTCACAATATGCTGATGAAATGAAACTCCTGCTACTCTTACCTCCACTTGGAAAGTGGATCTCCATTTCTGTAATGGTAATTGGTATAATTTGTATTTTCTACTCGGTCTTCATATATGTTCGACAAAGAAGAAGTGACATGAACGAAAATCTGTTACCAAAGGACCGTGAAAATGAAGAGATACAACCAGGAGCTACTGATGAATGATCTATTTTTCTTTGCATTTCACTATAAGTTAAGACCGAGAGGTTAAGACTTTGTTATTTTAATTTGTTACCACGTTATTTTCGTTTTTTTTGAGGGATAAAATATTTTTATTAAACAATTCGTACAATTCTTAAGTACAACGTGTGCCTGTTAAACAATATTGTAGCTTTAATTTGTTCATGAAAAGCCTTAGAATGATGGTTGCTGATCTTTACATAATTTTGCTAACGTTAACATCATTTATTAAATTGTAATTAGTATTTTTGACATTCCTCTAATGTTATACATAAATTTTATACTGATCTATTTGATTATTCCACACTGATCGTGTAGCTATTGATTACGAGTTTCAGAGATCCAGTAAATCGTAACTTTAATAAATTAGTTATAGAGTAGAAAAAATAACTGGTTTTATAAAAAAAAAGTATTCTGTATAAGCGTGTACAGATCAGTGATTTATATGGTATGAATTGATTTGTATTAAAGTTTTTCAAAAGAACGAAAATGTAGGCAATATAATCCTTTACATTTATTGTGCTAGAAATATTTAGGATATTGTAAATTGAAATGAAATATTGTTTAGTTGATAAAATGTAAATTTTTGTGTGTGAATGTTTGTTTTAAAAATACAAAAAAAAAATCTAACAATCAAGTCGATGGAGTACAGGTATCGTAATTAAATGTATCACTTTTGAGTTGTTAAAATCACGTGTGTATTAAGGCAATAATGGCTGTCGAAATTACTAAATCGAAAATAAAAAGAGTATTGGAAGTATGTGAAAAAGCAAGGTAATTAGAATGTTATATTCTTAGTAAGAAGATTCAAAGTTAAACTGTTTGGATTTATCAAAGTTTACCATGGAGAAGGCTGTGATAATGTGCTGTAGATTCTTTGACCTTCAAGTCTTTATAAACGAAAGAAAGTTTAAGTAAGTTTCTTTCGTTGGTTTGGACCTCCATGAAACTCTTAATTTTTATGTATAATTTCTTAAATAATTTTGTTGTACACTAGTATAGTTTGTTTGTGCATAGATTTTAAAAGATTATGTCACCATTTGATTATAGAAAGTGAAAAATTGCAAGTTGGTGTGAGCAAACTGAATTTTAGGAATTGAAATAAACATGAGATTTTTCTATAAAAATGTTGCAGATAAACAAAATTTGTTATTCTTAGATTATTATTTTTGAAAAAAATTGAAATACACAAAACAATATAATACTATCGATTAAATTCACTGCCACATTCTTTAATTTGATAAAACCAATATCATTCATTCGTAATATTCGTAATATTTAATTGAAGTTATTGTAATGTATGTTGATAAAAAAAATCGTTAATCACTTTATGATCTAAAGAAGTTCCAAACAAATTAGAAAATAAGTTCCGTGAATTACTGAAGTGTTTGATCGAACAACGAAACATTATTAAAGTGAACTAATGATGTGATATTTTATTTTTATCAATATTTTTGTTCATGAATACCGTAGTTGAATATTGATAACGTTTATTTCATAAGATATGGGAATGTTACAGCAGGGCTTTTTAAAGATCCAGCATATTATTTATTCATTAGAGATCAAACAATCAAAAGCATTCAATCGTTATAGTTACAAAAAAAATAAATAAAATAAAACTTGGCTATTTCTATAATTCTTGCGATCAAATACTTGTAATCGCACAATTAATTACTCAACTTAAAAGTCCATCTGTATACAATAATTAACTTCTTTAAAAATCTAGTTGACATTCAATCCATCAAGAGAATGGCCGAATGTTTACAAAATCCTTGATGTATGGCAATATTTATAACCATACACTTTTTTGATCGGAACGGTATGTACAGCCTGAACAAAATTGAATGTTCGTCAACCATCGATATTCAACGGACATTTTTTTTTTAGATTATGTAAAATCAACGTATCAATATTTCTTCATGCAAAAATTGTTAAACATGGTTTCTGCATAACATTTTGTTTGGGAGGAACATAAAAAAGCTATTTGAAATTCTCAACGAAACTTGCAATTTAATTTAAATTGCTTATTATGATTAAACATATAAGCATAGCATATTATGTACACACCTCAATTTTTCTAAAAAATAATAGTATTTTTTGACGACTTGTTTTTAATGCTTTATTTCGTAAATTCCAACTCCATTCAAATCCAACCCAGTATAAATCTTTGATCATTGCTAATAAAACGGAAATTTGAACGTCAAATAATTCTAGCATTTAATACGTTAAACGACACTGATAACTGATACAACCTCGGATCTGTTCATTCGACCAAAGCAATAATTTGTGTGTCCCTGTAAAATAAAAAAAAAGCTCGAAGAAAACCATTATCGGTAATCTATTGATGTGTGTAATGATTGTACAGTTCGTTGACTTTAATTGAGTTAAATTAAGGTTTTCAGCGAGATATATACATTAACTCGGTATCTCATGTCGGTGCAATCGAAAAAAATTAAAGGTAATTAACAACTGCATACAATCAGTTTACAAAGAAACAGTTGGTGACTCATTTTTTTTTATGTAGTAATGAAATTACTACCTATTAAGCTAACTTCTATGCTGGCAGTAAACAAAATTATATTCTCTATTATAAAGCCAATTGTTAGATGTTTGATTCGCTGGTTATCAATAAGATGGCTTCATTTTATCTGGAAAGAAGAATATAAGATAAACACTTTTTTAAAGTGATATTTGTTTTAAAACTAAGTTGGTGTACTCTGGATTTTTCAAAATACCCATAGAAATAAATATTTGAAAAGATTAACAATACTACAATTACTTATTAATATTACTCATTTACATGATAAATTTACTAAGGCATTCAAGGCAAAAGTATCTGCTTAGTTTTCAAAGTTTCTCCAAAACAAGATATTTGCTTAATTACGTAATAGAAAAAAAATGAAGGAAGTTGATTTACAAAATGAGGGTACAGAAAATTAGAATGAAAAAATTATTAAATAGAATACAATAAAAAATTAAATAATTTTACTTTACTTTTCCCTACAACCCTTTTTATATTTTCGTAGTTTTGTTTACCTTTTAATGACTGTATATTTTTTACAACGGCTTGTACTTTTTGTCACCAAGTATTTGGTCCTTAGATTATATATTTGTAAAAAATAATGCGATTATGCATGTTCTAATCACAGTGTTTATGTAATTTTCCCTACATCTATGTCTTTGAGCCAGTCTTGAGCATAGTATTTGTTACTGTGTACATGATTCAGTATTATCAAGTTGGTTGATGACTTTTTTCTATTATCATGTGAAAAAAATGAGCAAGTGAATACGGGGAGTTTATTCTCTAGTTAAATGTTAAATAAAAAATGTTTTATGATTTGATTAAAGAACAGCATTTAAGATACATTTTGTGGCAAGTATTTCTACGTTGCAGAATGTTTTTTTTTTCACGTACAGTATGGCACTATCAAACACTATCAAACATTGTGAAGTAAGGGAATTTCGTAAAAACTTATTAATTAAAAATCAATAGAGCAAGGAAAAAAGTTGATCGTTTTAGCTGAAGATCAAACTCAGATTGATAAAAAAAAAAAAAAATATGNTTTATAAAAAAATTTTACTATAGTTTCCATATTTAACACAAAAATTGAGTATTTTCTATCCAAACTGCGATATATGTGGTCGAAACAACAATCATTTAGAATAATAACTAGAAAAGTGATGTAATTGTGCTAATAAAATGAGACACTTAATCTAATATCAGATACGGCTAAAAGTCGCTTGCAGACCGGATTGATAAGTGACAGTAAATAAAAAAATATAAATAAATAACGGTTTACAACGAGCTTTGGGTACGTTAATAGTATTGGAATTTAAATTTAATTATTTATATGGCACTATTAACATGACTTGTTTATTATTCTTTGATACTTTTGTAAAAGGCTATCAAAATAAGATGAGTTAATTTTTAAGAAATCAATAAATTAACTTATGTGGTCAGGTCGATTGACTGAGAAGAAATTTTACTCCACAGTTATGCTCGCTACAGAGAACAGTTTCTAAAAATCTTAAATCAATGTTATGTTACATTAAAATTACCAGCAGAGGAGAAATTTAGCTTTCCGAAAACAGATTTGTCACTAAGGTACAAAGTACAAACATAAGCGCCAGAAAGGCACTTTGTCCCATTAAATCACTTTGGTCCCAGAGGGAGCAAAAAAAACTTTTGTACCTGTAGGCCAAAAGTGATTCCAAGGGCGCAAAGTGAGGCCTAAGGGTACCAAGCGGTAGTTGCACTTTGTGCCCATGGTAAGAAATGTCCAAAGTAGGGAAATGTCATGTGAGCAATATACTTTTATTTAATGTGATAAGAAGTGCTAATAAAAAACTAAAAATATTATTTTACAAATACTTATAAATCACTTATAACATATGCAGTCAGATAAAAGATAATAAATGATAATATTGACAATAATAATAATAATAATAATAATAACAACAAAATTTATAGTAAAAATATTAATAGTAATAATAAAAGTGCCAATAAAACTTTTCTTTGCCTAATTTTATGTTCCTGTGAGTACTGTACAATAATTTAAGTAGAAGACCTCATTGAGTTCAGTCTCATCCTTACCAGGGTAATAAAAGATTGAGTAATCGAAGCCTTGAACTTTAAATATGACTAGCATACAGCACTTAATTATTTAACGACTAAAACACTTTGTCTGTAGACAGATAACATGTTAAAACGTGTGCGTTTGATAGCATTGAAATTTTTTCGATAATTACCAAATGAACTCATGATTTTCGTGCCGTCACGACAGTTAGATTTTGGAACTTGCCAGTTTAACAACTCACTACTAGTAATAAGACAGTAGACTCAACAACTAAATGTTTAATTAAGAAGACTCTTTGAAAGTTCGTGTTTGTGCGTGTGTTTGTGTGTGTATGTGTAACAACGCTTCAACTGACTTCAGTGGATTCTAAGTTACCTACACCTACCAGTTAATTAATAACATCTGACGAAGTGTATAAAAAACATTTTTGAAAGTAAGTCTAAAAGTACTACAGTAAAGAATTTGATCAAAACAAACACAAATTATTTGTAGTTTATTATAATGTGCTTATAATACATGTAATACAAGTGACGACGTGAAATACAATGCGAGAATAATGTGTCATTGTTAATTATGAATTTCTAATTATTGTTTATCTCTGTACAACAGCCAACGGGTTGAGATATTGCCCGATATTTATAACAGCCATTTAATAGTGGTCAATGCTAAGACAAGTGATAAAAAACGATTATTTAAAATCACGTGTGTTAGCGTTGACCATTTCATTTCTGCAATTTTCTTTACTATTGTAATTCAAAAAAACAGTAAGATGGTAGATCATTGCGTATGTCACGTCAATTCAGAGTAAGTATTTATTTGAGAGCTAATTTTGGATTAATTTTTAATTAACATACACCCCTATGTGCTACATGATTTGCAAGAAAAATTTGCAATTTAAATTGATACTGAAAAATACGTGTGCGTAGATAAATAAGAGCTTTCTTTCTTAATGGGTTTCAATAAAGTGATATGAACCTTGTGATAACGAAAAAACTTTAATTCTCTTAATATTAAAATATATTGATATAAATTGAACAAGTGACAATGATATAAATTGAATATGTGATAAGTGTAGGGTAACTAATTTTCAAAAAGAACAAGGTAAGTTTAGGCGTATGGCTTACTCTTTTACACGTAGCTTTTCTACGTCAACGGTTATAGAAATTTTATAAAAAGTTTTTCAAAGTACTTAGAATAAGCTTTCATTCAAGCTCCAAAAGAGTTTAAAATGTTTATTTTCTTAAAAGTTGTGGCCGATTGACGTTAGGGCTTCAGACTCAACAAATCCATTCCGATCGATTTCTGAAAAAGTCACTTAAAACCACCATAACTCTTGACTATATTAATATTAATTAATACTTTATCAAGCTCAAATTAAAGGATTTTTAATAAAATTCTAAGTAGGTTTTAGTTTGTTAAAAGATAATAGTTTTACAAAAAGTTACAGCTGAAGTTATGAAAATTATCTCGATGATTTTTGGTGCGCGATTGTAAAGTAACTGTAACATTCGATATAATTACCGTTTATAACTTTGTCTGAGCTTAAATTAAAGTGCTTTACACAAGCTTTAATTTTAGCCCTTATGGAGTTAGAAATACTCATCTAGTCAAAAGTTACAGCCAATGTAATTAAATATAGAAAGATTACGCTTCTAAATTAAAATAGAATATTCCAGCAGTCGGACTTATCGAGAAAGTCATAGTTTATTTTTTCCACTTTTTATTAATCTTTCACGTACACGTACGGTACAATATATCCTGAAGATGTTAATAGCATAGTTTATAAAATTCCACTGACTCCACTCCTATGTGAATCATAAAGCGTCATTATCAGAAATACGAACAATCGGTGAAAAATATTAAATACTACTTATTTGATAAGTCTATTTCATTAAAAATAATCGTATGTTTTTCAACCAACAAAGGAAACCTTTACAGCTAAATTATTTTTATAACAAAATATAGATCCAATCTTTGTTTTAAATCTCAANAAAATTGAGTATTTTCTATCCAAACTGCGATATATGTGGTCGAAACAACAATCATTTAGAATAATAACTAGAAAAGTGATGTAATTGTGCTAATAAAATGAGACACTTAATCTAATATCAGATACGGCTAAAAGTCGCTTGCAGACCGGATTGATAAGTGACAGTAAATAAAAAAATATAAATAAATAACGGTTTACAACGAGCTTTGGGTACGTTAATAGTATTGGAATTTAAATTTAATTATTTATATGGCACTATTAACATGACTTGTTTATTATTCTTTGATACTTTTGTAAAAGGCTATCAAAATAAGATGAGTTAATTTTTAAGAAATCAATAAATTAACTTATGTGGTCAGGTCGATTGACTGAGAAGAAATTTTACTCCACAGTTATGCTCGCTACAGAGAACAGTTTCTAAAAATCTTAAATCAATGTTATGTTACATTAAAATTACCAGCAGAGGAGAAATTTAGCTTTCCGAAAACAGATTTGTCACTAAGGTACAAAGTACAAACATAAGCGCCAGAAAGGCAC